ACTTGAGTAATGGGTGGTCAAATGGTTAAGAGCACTGAGCTCTAATTCGGCAAACTCAGGTATGAATTCTTGGTAAGGTGATAGATTTTTTCTGTCGGGGAAAAATAGAATTTCAGCCTGCACAGTCCATGGAGACTGCACCGGCCATGCAGTGTTAAATCCTCATGACCCGCATTGTTTTATGCTGCTCTCAAGTAAGTGGGCAGTAAAAACAATTATTATCATCTTTAGTAAAAGCCGATCAATACACATCCCATCCATATTCCTCTTGCCAGACTCAAGAGGGTGGTACATATACTAATTTACATATGTCAAATTGTTTAACTATATTATGATTAACAGCTTAAGTAGAAACTAATCAATACACCATATACACCTTTCTCTTGTCCAACTTAAGAAGGTAGTACACATGTTAGTTCATCATCATCATCAAGTGCCTTGCTGACTGGCGTGGGCAATCATGCCTCTACAAAATCTGCGATCTGCAACTGCGGTATCAGTTCGTGTGTTTACACCCCTCCATGCCATGACAAAAGACTGTCAAGAACGTTTCACGCCGTCTTTCTCTGTCTATTTTTCCACAGATCTTTCCAGTGGTCACAGAATATTCCATTTTCCCTCTTCTCATAACATGACCAAAAAATGATGACTGTCTCACAGTTTTGGCCTGTCCTATTCTATTCTTTATCACTGTGATACATCTTCCATCGGATGTTATCCATGTGCCTAGATACTTAAATTTCTGTATTTGTCCTAAAATAAAGCCTTTGACTTTTATTACATATTATGCTAGTTCACATATGTAAAATGATTTATACTATCTTACAATTAACAGCTTAAGTACATGCTGATCAATATGTAAAGTTATTTCATCTCTCAAGCACATATGGTTTGTCCTGAGTGTAGTGAAGTTGGCTGCTTCAGAAGTAACAACTACTAACAGTGTAAAGTCTTAATTTCCCATAAACTAAAGCTGAGAGGGTACAGATGCAAGGATATACATGACATAATAGGGCAAGAAATAGATGCTATCAAACTGGGAGACAGGCTATCGAGAACCTAGTATAATAACACCAAAGCACGAATTCACCAGCAGTATATGTATGGTTACCGGAAAAACAGCATCAATGAAACAAGGCATGATCAGATACAGATAAGCTACAAAATGTGCATTTTATTTCATTATAATGGTGGCAGGAAGTTCATTAAAGCATTAGTAAAACATTTGCCTTCAGTCCTATGTAACTGAAGTGAATTCACTAAAACTATAGAACAATCCCTTAAATTCAAATGTGACAAGGGATTTCACTAAAACTTTACAGCAATTCCCTTCAATACAGTGTGACTCAAAAGTAAAACAACTACCTTCAATCTAATGTGACCTAAGCCACTTAATAAACTTGTTAGTAAAACTATTATCTTCAATTCAATATGCCCCCAAGTAATTTCACCAAAACATTAGTGTAACAATTCCCTTTAATCCAATATAATGCAATGGTTACTGTAACAACTACCTTCAATACAATGTGTCCTAGGCCATTTAAACCAAATCATTAGTAAACAATTATCTTCAATACAATGTGCCCCAAGTAATTTTACCAAAAACATTAGTGTAATAATTTCCTTCAATCCAATGTGATTCAAGTAATTTTATAAAATTATTCATATAATAGGTGCTTTTTAATCCAGTGTCCCACAAGAAGTTTCACCAATATGTCTTCAATCTAGTGTGCTCCAAGTAATTTTGTCAAAGTATTAGTTTAACGTTAACCATGGAAATGAGATGTCTGAAAAGGGCTGCAGGAATCACCAGAAGAGAAACAATTATGAATGTCATAAGAGAAAAAGTTGACAGCAATTCTAAACTACACACAAAGACAGCTAGTAAAATGGTTTGTCCACTTGATAAAAATGCCTTGTGACACCATACCATACAAGGCATACTTAAATAAAAAGAGGAGAAAGCTCAAAGTAGACCAAGAACAAGATGGGAAGATAACTTCACAGAAACTCTACAATAGCACAATGCGTCTACCACTGAGGTGACCAGAAGAGCAAGAAGCCGAATCTTAATCTCCCTCGATAACTAAAGTGGTAAAAGAAGAAGTGAAGAAGAGAAGAAGAAGTTAATAAAACATTTGGTCTTATCACATCTCTAGGCACAAATAGGCATAGGTCATAGGTGAATGCTGTACATGCTAAAACTTCTTCAGCAGTTGTAAATCATGAAAATTAGGCCACAATTGGGTGTTTCCCTGGCAACACTCTGATAATGTGAAATGTTTATCAATAACAGAACAATCAGCACAAGTTCTAACATAGATTGGGATAGCAAGGGGAAGCTGTACATTCACTTCTCAGTATGGTTTTAGACAGTGAAGAAAGCTATGATTTATGGTGGAGACTCTTCCTCTCCTTCTGCATCCACCATTTAGAAAGTGGTTGGTTTGTTGTGGTTGGTATGCTGTGGTTGGTATGCTGTGGTTGGTATGCTGTGGTTGCTTTGTTGTGGTTGGTATGCTGTGGTTGGTATGTTGTGGTTGGTATGTTGTGGTTGGTATGCTGTGGTTGGTATGTTGTGGTTGGTATGTTGTGGTTGGTATGCTGTGGTTGGTATGTTGTGGTTGGTATGCTGTGGTTGGTATGTTGTGGTTGGTATGTTGTGGTTGGTATGTTGTGGTTGGTATGCTGTGGTTGGTATGTTGTGGTTGGTATGTTGTGGTTGGTATGCTGTGGTTGGTATGCTGTGGTTGCTTTGTTGTGGTTGGTATGCTGTGGTTGGTATGCTGTGGTTGGTATGTTGTGGTTGGTATGTTGTGGTTGGTATGCTGTGATTGGTATGCTGTGGTTGCTTTGTTGTGGTTGGTATGCTGTGGTTGGTATGCTGTGGTTGGTATGCTGTGGTTGCTTTGTTGTGGTTGGTATGCTGTGGTTGGTATGTTGTGGTTGGTATGCTGTGGTTGCTTTGTTGTGGTTGGTATGCTGTGGTTGGTATGTTGTGGTTGGTATGCTGTGGTTGGTATGCTGTGGTTGGTATGCTGTGGTTGGTATGTTGTGGTTGGTATGCTGTGGTTGGTATGTTGTGGTTGGTATGCTGTGGTTGCTTTGTTGTGGTTGGTATGCTGTGGTTGGTATGTTGTGGTTGGTATGCTGTGGTTGCTTTGTTGTGGTTGGTATGCTGTGGTTGGTATGTTGTGGTTGGTATGCTGTGGTTGCTTTGTTGTGGTTGGTATGCTGTGGTTGGTATGTTGTGGTTGGTATGCTGTGGTTGGTATGCTGTGATTGGTATGCTGTGGTTGGTATGTTGTGTTGTGATTTACAGTAATGCTGCGATATGGGTACCTTTCAGCAGACATCTGATTTCAAGAGACCCTTAATTACCATATGCTTGTGGCCTGGAACCTTCATGAAAAGTATAGCGATGTAATGTTAAACAAACTGTGATACATGTCTTCAGATTAAAGAACCAATAAAAAGATGTCAAGTATGTCTGAGCTTATAATCCAAACTCACATTTCTTCATTCACAAACATAACATTTCAATAAATGATAATAGATCACATCTCCTTGATCAGGGTGTCTCAAAGTTAGATCATCAAAACTCCCCACCTCTCAACTCTCTTTGATCTCAATGGTTTTTCTTTCTTACATAACATGACTTTTCCAACTGTCTTTAAAAAGTTGTATTTCCAACTCTCTTACATTAGATACTCTTTATTTGAAACAGTTTTTATCTCAGATATAAACTGGTTTTCTTTTTCTCTTATGTAACATGGTTTTTCTATCTTATGCATAGTTTTTTGTTTTTTTTAAACTCTCTTATGTTGAATAATTTTTTTAACTCTTACATTATCTTAGGTGGTTCCCACTTTAGTGCACTGAATGTGTTCGTCAAAATGAGTTAATTTAATAATTCGTTTTTTTTTTTCATCTTGACATATATTTTTTTTAAAAAAGAGAAGACAATGAGAAGAGACTTTTGACAGCTTTGAATCACAGCACAGATCAGCCACAGTACATGAGTCGATACATGCTGCAAGAGATTGCTTGATGTTGTAGGAGAGAGATTACCCAAGCCAGTCAGCAAAGCACCACACTACTATTAAAAATTCTAACTACTACTTCAACTACTACTGTTGTTATTTCCTTTGCTCCTACCTGCTGCAGATGTTTAACTGCTGCCGATAGTATTACAATTCAACTGTACTACTACTATAACCAGCACTGTAATAGTTAACAAAAATTAATTATCATCATATAGCAAGTCATTTACAGAATGTTGCTCTGTCTGAAGCAAACTCAATCTCTTGCCAGCTGTACTGCCTCATGCTTTCCTAACCAAGGTGTCTCATACATAACCCTTGCCCATTTTCATGCTGATTGCGCCCTTTCAGTATTTCCCTATCCATACCTTACGGTCTGCTACTGTTCTTTCCACTCCACCGTTGTATTTAAAATGGCCAAAGTGTTTCAGTTTCTAAAGCAAGATGCTGTTTCGGAGCCAATATTTCTTAGTTCAGAAGATAATTTAATAAAAACTTCAGTCAGAAAATTATATGAATAAATAAGGTTAGCCGGATCACGCAACAGCTGTCTGGGACAGTAGGAGTTAGTATCTAATGATTATTCAACCATGATAGAGCTGTTGAAAAAAAAAAAAACTGAATCACATAGGAACAGATTCTTAGTGGGGTCAACTATGACAATTTTTAAAAACCTTGACCAAAAGCACCCCAGCACAATGACAGAATGCAGTTGGGGTATCATGAGCTACACTACTATCAATATTAAGGAAATATGAGATATAAAAATATACAATCCAAGATTTTTTAGCAAAAGCCCATAATACCATAAGTAGCAAGAACACAATACTAGAGAAAACAATACAAGGCAAAAAAGAGGCAAAAAAGCAGTTTTGATATATATTTTTCAGATTCACTATATAAATGTTGACAGACCAAATGTCTAAAACAACTCGTGAAATCTGGTGGCAGTGTCATTTAATAGATGTCATCCTCTAAGGGGTCATCTTCCAGAAAGTCATCAGCCACCTCAACCAGTTCTTGTGGTGCTTCACAGAATAATCTTTGGGTTGTGCTGTCTGAACGCTGCATCAAAGACTGTCTGCAAAAGAAAAATATATTTTGTGAGGCTGATATTTTAAAATACATATCTGGCGTACAGGTCATTTGTCTGGAGCAGCATCATCATCATAGAAGCTGTGGTAGTGCAGTGGCTAGACTGTCACTTGCTGATCCAAAGGTAGTGGGTTCGGATCCCAAGATGACCTTGGCTCCCAGGTCGACCCAGCCTTAAAAATAGGTACTAGGTAGAGTTCTGGGACATATAGGTGGCTGACATGATATTGAGCACACAACACACTGAGTGGCGATTTGTCTATAGAATACAGGTCTAGCCTATATGCCCAATACGCCCAAAGGTGTGGAAAAGTGGTCCTTGACTTTATCATCATTACCATAGGCGTATCAGCCATGTGCACCTGTGGAAATGTGCCCCAGGCAGCAGAGCATGTACTCCAGGACTGCACCGAATTTGACACATTAAGGCAAACCTTTTGGCCAGAAAGAACAACAGTGGAACGTAAACTCTATGGACCACTGAATGAACTAACAACGACAGTGAAATTTATACAAGAGACAAAACTGCTGATATAGACAACTTATTTCGGGCGAACGAAAGAAGAAGAAGAAGATCATCATTACCATCCTGCTGTGCGAGTAAATGTCACATAGGGCTCTCAGAGTAGTCCTTTATTCCTTTCTATTCTGTGCAATCCTTTTAATATCATAGATGGAATCAGGTCCAGCAGCTTTAGCTTCTCATAGCAAAATCTGTTTCAGGGTTTCTCTTGAACATCTTTCATTTCCTTTGTCCATCGGTTTTCTTATTTCAGTGCCTGTTTGGTGACTCTCTGCTCGCTTCTTCTCAGGATGAGCCCAATATAGTGCCACTTTCTTTGTTTCTATGATACCAGTGGTTGTCCAGATATTTCTCTTTTTTGTTTGCCTTTTATGAATTCATACGATTTAATTTCCATCAATTTCCTGTAGCATTTGTTTTTTAATACATTTAATTTTCATTCTATGTATTTTGTGGTGCTGCAACTTTTACTGGTTATTGTTGAAAATGAGAGGTCTGGTTCTAGATATAAAATGACTGACTGACTGACTGACTTTCTACCCCACCAGGACATCACACAAGCGATAAACACCTGATCACACAAAGTGCCACCATGCGGATGAGGATCACCGTGGAGAGGTCCTAGAAACCGTGTTCAGCCATTAGGCCATATTTATGACCTGGCTATATTGTGGCCCCTGAGAAGAGCCAGGGTGGGACTTCAAATAACAAAAAATTTTATCCTAAAAGAGACGGTGAATTGAATTGAAACGAAATAAAATAAATGCTTGATACTGACAATTAAAGTAACATATATGCTCAATGTGGTGAAAATAAAATATCTGTCAAGACCTGGAGATAAATATTTAAAAAAGGCCTGGAAGGGGAGGCGAAAAAAGTATATGCCTGGCATGGGAGATGAATATAAAGTATATGCCTGGCAGGGGAGATAAATTTGCCTGGCATGGGGGATAAATATAAAATATATGCCTGGCACGGGAGATGAATATAAAGTATATGCCTGGCATGGGAGATAAATATAAAATATATGCCTAGCATGTGAGATGAATATAAAGTATATGCCTGGCATGGGAGATGAATATAATGCCTGGCATGGGGGATAAATATAAAATATATGCCTAGTATGTGAGATGAATATAAAGTATATGCCTGGCATGGAAGATAAATATGCCTGGCATGGGGGAAAAATTTAAAATATATTCCTGGCATGTGAGATGAATATAAAGTATATGCCTGGCATGGGAGATAAATATAAAGTATATGCCTGGCATGGGAGATAAATTTGCCTGGCATGGGGGATAAATATAAAATATATGCCTGGCATGTGAGATGAATATAAAGTATATGCCTGGCATGGGAGATTAATATAAAATATATGCCTGGCATGGGAGATAAATATAAAGTATATGCCTGGCATGGGAGATAAATATAAAATATATGCCTGGCATGGGAGATAAATATACAATATATGCCTGGCATGTGAAAAGATATGGAAATATGGTATTTGGCCAAACGACTGGAAGAGAACTATCTTCATTCCAATACCAAAAAAGGGTGACCTGCAATTATGTACAAACTATCGAACTATTGCCCTGATCAGTCATGCAAGTAAAATTCTACTAAAAATTATAATGAGAAGACTGCAAAAGAAAATGGAAGAAGAGATTAATGTAGCTCAGGCTGGATTTAGACAGGGAAGAGGAACAAGAGATCATATATTCAACATGCGTTTAATAATAGAGAAGTGTAGAGAATTTAATGTAAATCTGTTCTTATGTTTTGTGGATTATTCAAAAGCATTTGACTGTGTACAACATCAGAAGCTTTGGGAAATCATGAGGAATATGGGCTTTCCATCACATATAGTGCAGCTCATTAAAATGCTCTATCAAGACCAACAAGCAGCAGTCAGAATAGATGGAGAGACATCAGACTGGTTTTGGCATCAAGCAAGGAGTCCGTCAGGGATGTGTGCTGTCACCGTATTTGTTCAACCTGTACGCCGAAAATATAATGAGAAATGTAAGAGATGATATAAACAAGGAACAATATGATGCCCTAAACATCGGTGGTCATGAAATACCAGAAATTCGTTATGCTGATGATACAGTATTACTATCAACATCAGAAAATGGTTTAGAAAACTTATTAACCTCACTCCAAAGAAATAGTGAAAATCATAACTTATTTCTTAACACAGCAAAAACAAAGATAATGCATACAAACAAAACTGCCATGGAGAAGGAAATATATGTTAATGAGGAAAGATTGGAAGTGGTGGACAATTTCGAATATCTTGGGTCACTGGTTACCAACAATGGTGACACAATGAAAGAAATCAAACGGCGACTATCAATTGCTCTTCAAAGACTAAAACAACTGAATAAATTATGGAATTGTACAGATAGAATTACAAA